CAATACTCTGACATGCACCATAGATTTCAGTCACACCAGTCTACTGAAAAGTGTCATTACTGACATAGCTATTTCCCGGTTCCACACATTCAAAATTGCAGCTCTTCAATATTGATGTGCTGAATTGAATTGTACAAGTATGTTAGAACATATGAAAGGTTTAAGCAGAATTGTGTAAATTGAAGGGAATAAAAAAAAAATCTTGGATCCCAATGTCCCTCTTAGCTGTGTAGGAAAGCTGAAAGAATTTAGCAATATACAATGTTATTTGTCTAATTCTGTGTGACTCAGGATGGACCGGCAACCAAGGACGGGCACGAGTGTGAAGGTTTGAGTTTAAAACAAACAAGTGTTATAATACAATTGAGCTGGTCTCTTTTGTTTCTGAAAAGTAGCTCCTAATGTAGTAGATCTCTATTGTATAAGAGAACCAAGGCCGTTGGGAACATTTCCTCCCTTGTTCTGGCAGCTGTTTTGCACCTACCTGTCTTTCAGGGTTTTATGGTTATGAAATAAATGACTTTGGGTGAATTTGCTTAATCTCAGGCTCCTAGAATCTCTGGCTTCATTATGAATTATGTCACTTTTATCTGCTCTCACTGAAATCACTACTCTCACTGAAAAGTACAATTGCTATCAGTGTGCCAAGGGAAAAAACCCATGTTAAAATGTAATAGGAAATACAACCCACAACTCGTATGGACCAATTCACCTACGTTAGAAGTGAGAATAGCCAGACTTTGTCTTACGTATGCTTTGGTCATGTTGTCAGAAGGGACCAGTCCCTGGAGAAGGATATTATGCAGGCTAAAGAAGAGGGCCAGCAAAAAGGGGAAGACTCTCAGTGAGATGGCTTGACACGGTGGCTGTGACAATGGGCTCAAACATAGCAATGATTGTGGGGATGGCACAGGACACGGCAGTTTTTTGTTCTGTTATACACAGAATCACTATGAATTGAAACCAACTCGGTGGCACCTAATAACAACAGGTAACTAATCAGATTGGTTAGTTATCAGCTAGCACACAGAATCTGGAGCCTTGGGTATTGCCTAGTTTGGAAAGTTGGTAGACTGAGAGCCTGTAGAGTGCCAGGCAATTGAACATGATTGGGCAGTGAATGATGGAGGAGGGTGTACTCTATGAAAATAATGACAGCAATAACAATAGCTGACAATTATTAAATGTTTACAGTGTATAAGGCAAGGCCTGTTCCTAAAGCTCTTACATGCATTAACTCATTTAATCTTCATAGCAAAACTCGGATGCAGGCATTATTATTATCCCATTTTGCAGATGAAGAAAATGTTTCACAGAGAGCTTAAAGTCTTACCCAAATTTGCCCAGCTAGCAAATCATAGAACTAGGATTCAAGTCCATGCTGTCTGGCTCCACATTGTGATCTCAACTACTACACTATAAAAGCCAAACCCATTGCAATTGAGTCAACTCTGACTCAGAGCTCCTGAAAAATTAGGTGTCAAAGAGAAATTTATCTTACTAGTTTCAACATGTAATTCTCCAGTCAAATCAGTTCTTGCTTCAGATGCTACTGAGGGATGACATGGGAGAAAAGCTTCTAGGCTTAGATGAAGACAATAGGATAAAATGGCATTGTAATGAGCTCCCTGATATTATCAGTAAATCAGTAATATCATCAATAAACCTTGAGCACCTCTTATATCCTCTGAAATTGGTAAGATGTCATTTGTTTCAGGTTCTCTACTCTTAAAATCAATGGAAATAGAGCTACTTCTAGTTAGTACAGGTTTAAATATGGAAAGTCACATACCTTGACTACTTGCCTGGAAAGGGTTGTTAATTTTTTCATGGGACTTTGAGTGTATTTCACTGTGATGACTGGAGCCAATGCAAAAAATATCTGGATCTTCTTAGCTAGCTCTGGATTTGTAGAGAACGCTATGAAAGCTGAAAGGGAAGAAGATACTAGTTCATAGAGAAAAGATAATTCTTCATCTATTTTAAATGATAATAAAGGTAGGTAGATTAAAAACAAATGAAACAAACAGACAAACAAGGTACACCTGAAACAAATAAACAAATCAACAGCAACAAACAATAAAAATGGTAAGTACTCCTTGCAGGGAAAGGTTTTCTGAATTTTCCCAAGGATGTAGTTGGCTACTTCAGAATCAAATGAGTTTCTTATCCCTGCAGAGTGCAGGTCTACTTGTACAGTGTTGTGGGGAAGATTCAAGCATTCACTGTGCAGCATATCTTGATAAACATCAATGACCACTCTAGCCTGATGATAGACTTTGACATCAGACTAATTTAGGCTGTAATCTTGGCTTCTCACTCATAAGTTGTGGGAAACCTGGGCAAGGTATTGTCTTTCTATGATCTTAATCTTTCTCAATCTGTAAATCTGGATAATAGAATCCTTATAGGATTCCTGCGAAGATCAAATAATAATAATAAAAAATCAATCTATCTATCTACGAACATTTAAGGTGGTACTTGGAATCATCAACATTAGAAAGGTTTCCTAAATTCAGACATTTGTAAAATAAGGATGTTAATATTCTCAAATATTTATGGTACTCAGTGAGAAAATATGGATGGAATGCCTAGTTCACTACAGGAATATAAGGACCTACTTGACACCGGAAATTTGATTAAGATTAAGATACAGGAGAAAGGCTGGTAGAAATGCTTACAATATTGCAGAGGTCTCTAGCCCAAGAGAGAGCAATGAAGGGAGTGAAGTGCCTCATGGCACTGCCAATATGGCCCTGCCTACATCTTACCTACCCCAGTTCTTCCCTGGCAACTAAAAGTTACACTTGTAGCAGCATCTAATCTCTGCTTTCTTTTTGATGTCTTTCTCTAGACTGCAAATCCTATAAAGGAAGGACACATACCATCTCTGCTTCCTAGGATCTAGACCAGAGTCTGGCAAATGTTAGTTGAGTGTACAATTAAACAAGTGAATTATTTTCTCTGCTTCAGATTTCTTTATCAACCTCCAAATTCAGTGCTGAGGAAAAATCCCTCTTGTTATTTTTGTTTTCACTTTTCAGAAACCAGCCAGTAGAAATGACTTCCCGACTCAAGTCCTCAAACTAAAGGCTGCACAAAGATAAGAAATCCTGTCTTCTGTCATGATTTGGAAGAAGAGTCCTGGATATATCTTAGATCAAATGTACCCAAATATACCTATGGTAGTGCCTTGAGAGTGGCCCACATAGAAGAGTCGCTCCTGTCCGGTTTTCTCTGTGATAAAATCGATTGTGGCTGGAAGGTCATATTTTGCCATCTCATCCAAACTGCCAACAAGAAGGAACAATACAATTGGAAAAACATATTATTATTGAAACCAAACCAAACCAATTGCCATTGAGTAGATTTCATCACATGCCCCATGTGCAGAAGAGCAGAACTGTCTGCACAGGATTTTCAAAGCTGTGATTCTTTTGGGTGAAGATCACCAGGTCTTTCTTCCAAGGCATCTCTGAGTGAATTTGAGCTACCAATCTTTTGGTTAGTAATCAAACACTTAACCATTACAGGGACTGTAGTATTTAAACACATTCATAGATAATTTGCTTTTAATTAAATATGAAAATAAATCTAAAAATCCAATAGGATGAGCCTGTGTACCTTGTGAAGATGCCATCTTGATTAAAAGCACTTTTTAAAGAAACTAGAATCAGAAAAATCTGGTTTCCAAAGGCCTAATGACATTTTCTGACTCATAGTGACCCTAAGGACAGAGTAGAACCTAGCCTTTAAAAGTAGAACATAGAGTTTCCCAGGCTGTAAATCTTTATGGAGGCAGACTGCCTCATCTTTCTCCTGTGCAGCAGTTGGTAAGTTCAAACTGCCAACCTTTTGCTTAGCTTCCAAATTCTTTAACCACTGTGCCAGAGAACTGCTATGAATTGGAATCAACTTCATGGCAGTGGGTTTGGGTTTTGGTTTAGAGATGCTTTTCCTGAAAAGCAAGTGATATTTCAATTATTTCTGTTACAGATTTACTATATCCCCCTTATTTAATAGAGAGAGAGAAAATAAATAAATGAATAAAACAGATTTGCAAGAAAGAGCCCCAGTAATCGACATACTTAATATCACCTCAGGTGCTGTTTATCCTGCAAGGAGTTTGAGAAACACTGACCTAGGCAATCATTATGTCCCTTGCAGTAGTGTAGTGACACCACCACTACAATGAAAGATGGAATTAGGAAATGCCAAATGGCTTCCAGGAATAAGGTAGAAATGAAGTTATGGAACAAGGCTTTGGTGACCTTCAAAACATGATCTGTAAATCTGTAAATCTGTAATAGAAATAGTTGAAATATCACTTGCTTTTCAGGAAAAGCATCTCTAAACGACAACCCAAACCCATTGCCGTGAACTTGATCCCAATTCATAGCAGTTCTCTGGCACAATGGTTAAAGCATTTGGAAGCTAAACAAAAGGTTGGCAGTTTGAACCTACCAACTGCTGCACAGGAGAAAGATGAGGCAGTCTGCCTCCATAAAGATTTACAGCCTGGGAAATTCTATGTTCTACTTGGAAAGGCTAGGTTCTACTCTGTCCTTAGGGTCACCATGAGTCAGAAAATATCACTCTAGACCAAGGATAAACTCAGCTGAGGCTAATCTTGTACAGACACCAGTGATACAAAATACCTGCAGTCCTTACAGAAACAATAGAAGACAGACACAAAGCAATCCCTCACAGACATTCCGACACTAGGGAGAGAGATCCAATACAGCTACTACCTCAGGACCATAGTACTGGGGGACACCAGACTCAATTGGCACAACAAAATACATAGAAGTGTTGCTCCAGATTCTACATTGGTGAGTAGCAACTGGGGTCTTAAAAGCTTTCAAGCAGCCATCTAAGATGCAGCTAATGGTCTCCTAGTGTTGGAAGTGAAGAAGAATGCACACACACACACACAAGGGCATTTAGAAGCAATCAATCCTAGGACATGATGGCCCTTGAGACCAGAAGAACCAGATGGTGCCCAGCTACCAATGCCAACTACTCAGGAAAGGATCAAATCTGGAGATCCTGAATAGAGTGGGAGGGATAATGTGGAACAAAATCCAAACACTCAATAATGACCAGAATTACTGGTCAGATGAAATCTGGTGAGACTCCCATTACTATGGCCCTGAAATACATTCAGTGCCTGGAATAAAACTCACCCCCAGGGGCGGGCTTTCAGCCCAATAGTTAACAAGATGTACACACAGACCACTCAACCCAGGATGCCGCACCCACACACTCAATGGGAATACATCCCTTAGAGCGATAGACCATGGAATACCAAAGGATCAGCGTTCAAACTGAGAAAATGCAGGACGAACAGGAGTGCATAATTATGAAGGGCACAGGGGGAGTGTTGCAGGGTAGGGAGGGGAGGAGACTGGGTCAGGGTTGGACATGGTGAATGGGGAATGAAACAAAATGTATGTGTGATTTTGAGTGTAAAACAAGCTCTTAAAATAAAAAATATAAAAGAACATGGTCTTTAGTGTCTGTGTAAGTGCCTGGGCTTACTCTGTGACCAAGCAAGACTGGCTTCAGAAGCAGACTGTGCCCCCAGGGGCTGCTGGTGGCAACTGCCTGCTCCTTAGCCTATCTGGGACCAGGCTTTCCTCTGTACTTCTCCCAGGACCTGATTCTGGAGAGAGGTACAGGTTTCATCAGAGCTGGCCTGGCTGTGGGGTAAAAATTCCTCACAACTGAGTGAACAAACATTTGAGTGTCAACTTTACAAAAGGACTGGGCTCACTTATGGCTTATCATGAATGTCTGGTTCTCAGGATTTCCAACTAAAACCTTATTTCTGTTCCCATTTTTCCATCAGTGTAATTTTTCCTCTTTAGTAAGAGTTTCATACAATCTTCCTCCAGGTTTGACGCTGACAAAATGATGATAGTCAGTCATAGAATTATCCTTTCTAAAGATGACCTGTGCATTTTGACTACACACACACACACACACACGCACACAAGAAAGCAAGGGTTTAAAACAAACAACGAAGTAATAATGAAGATATTAGGGCATTTCTCCGAGTCTGTGAAGAAAGCTGTGTAGATGAAGTGCTTCCTTTGTTTCTATCTCCTGGACCCCAAGGAGGTGTATTTGGACAAGAAGAGAAAATCGAAGGTAATTCACATACAAATGAACACAGCACATGCCTTATTCATTAGCAAGTATGTCCTCACCTGAATGCCCAGTATTCTGCTGATTTGAGTGAAAATTTCAAGTGTTTTCTGGACCAGGTGTTTCCCCGGCTGTTCCCCATCCACACATCATAACCATTATCTGCCAGAAGGAAGGCCAAGCTGTTGTTGGGCAGGTTGCAAATCCAGTTACTGGCAGAAGAAAGTAAGCCATGCTGCAAATACACAACAGGTTTTGGAGCTGCAGAACAAAGGCGACAAGAATTTCATGTCTCAGCTTCCTCCTAGAGTCTACAAGAAACTCTTTCCTGACTTCCTGTGCTACAGAAGAAAAATTAAGATGTAAAATTTGAGGGCAGTCAAACCTGGGTTCTTGTCTTTTCTGAACTACTGACTTAGAAAGTTATGTATCTTCTTCATGTCTTGTTTTTCCATTTATAAGTTGGGATTGTATATAACACATTGTTTTGTTACTTGAGTACTGGACTCAGATTGCCCTGGTTCATAATCCATTCTGCTACATATTCACCTCCCTGTCTCTCAGTTCACTTCTCTGTGTAATGGGGAACAACAACAGAAGCTATCTCATAGTGCACTTGGAAGAATTAAATGACACTTAAAATATTCACAGGCTTTGCAGCACCATAAATAATTAGCTCTATCATTATTATTATTATTCATATTAATAACATTTTATATCTCAAGGAGCACCTGAACACAAAACTTTAAATAATAAAGTTTTTAACTTTTGTAAAACATCAAAAACAATAATAAATATACCATTTGTAGCATGCTTACTGAATACCAGGCACTACGCCAGATCTTACATACGATGCTTCACTTAATTTGCATTGTTAGAAAGTAAAATACAAGGTTGTGAGTGGAATTGCACACAATGTAACATTGGTAATTCAATATAAAAATCCTATTCCCAATCAAGAATTAGAATAATTTGACTAAGAAAGAGGAAAGCAAAAAAAAAAAAAAAGAAGTGAGGAAATGGTATAGAAACAGAAAAGAGAGGAAGAAGTGTCAAGACTTCTCCTTCCAACAGTTTCTGATGGCTGTGTTGTTACCTCCAGCCTCTGTTGTTACCTCATGTCCCTTTTGGGACTAGAAGGGCTTCGTGAGATTAGGTGGGTGAGACTGTCTCTCAGAGAGCCCTCAGCCATCTGGAAGCAAGGAACTAAGAGTCTATGTCCATTTATCCAACTTTTGGAGGAAAAGGAAAGAAGAAATGTTACTAACTCTACCGAGCATAGTACTGCCAAATGGGAGTCCTAGTTCACAGCCTTTTTCTGATCTGGGCCCTCAGACAGCTTCTCATAATAGAGACAGCTTTTCAGGCCCTGCATTTTGGCAGCTGTCAGAAATGATAAGAGAAGAACTGGGAGAGACAAAATCCTTATGAGTGCTTACAAAGGTAATGGAGTTCATCTGGTAAACGATTTTCAGCAACACCATTGCATCTTGGTTTTTTTCTAAAACTCTAGATTTTATCTTTAAATAATTAACCCATCTGATGCAGCACTCCAAAGAATCAAAGGAGCTGAGAAGTGAGAGAAGCACAAAAGCACCTATTTCAGAACAAGAGCTGTCCTGTGGCTCCCAGGACATGGAGACATCTCCACTTTAGGCATTAATCCTTTCAGAGCTAAACAAATCCCACCTGTTCTGCTTGGGCATCCTCTTCCATGAGGAATCCTATAAATTCCAAGCACATAATCATCTTTAGTCACAACATCATACTTTTCATAAGGATAGCCCCAGTAGGAAATAATCTGGCTCTGAAAAGAGGAAAGAAACACATACACCAAAAAGTTGTGATCTCTTACTTTTCACACATGCATTGCAATGTATAGAACTTTAAGATGTAACATACTGTTTATCTGTTTATATTTTGGAGCAGCGTACAGAAGATAAAATTAGGATAATTGGAGAAGGATTTTGAAAAGGGGCTGTATACAAAGACATGAGTAAAGCAGAGTGGGGCAACCAAACATCCCAGTTCGCTCAGGACAGTCCCTGATTTATGCTTGTTGACCTGGTATTATTAATTGTTCTGATTCATTCTCAAAATATTTTGGCAAAAACATTTTTATGGTCATTTAACAAGGAAAACCATAAGGTATGGTGCAGTGTCCTGTGGTTAGTAACAAATGAGCTGGTACTAATCTTAGACCTGAAAGTAAATGGGAGAAGCAGTTTCCAGAGTCTGAAGAAAAGATCAAATAGAGAGGGCCTCATTGAGAAGAACTATCATATTCACTGGAGGGATCCAGCCCCCTTAAAATGACCTCAATAAACAGCCTGATTTTATTCTCCTCCTTCCTGTCAATTCCTCGCTCAAGATTTCCATTGGTTGAACTGAAAATCAAATGTCAAGGAAGCTTGTTGATCTAGTCCTTATAGGTCAGCCTCCTGGGCAGAAAGGAGACAATAAAAGAATTAGACAAGGGAGCCAGAGGGATAAACAAAAGATACCCCATCACAGATGTACAAAGAAGAGGATAACTAGTGTTTATTAGTCATTTTCTTCAGAGAATGGTTTATATCCACTGTTTTATTAATCCTTTCAACAGGCTTTTGAGGTAGAATTGCACCCATTTGTGAGTTGAGAAAAATTCAGGGAGATTAATAATCTAAGATTTTTCACTAAGAAGAGACAAAGTTAAGATTAAAGTCATAGTAAGTTTAACTCCAAAGCCTATGGCCTTGTCACAAGAGTATGCATTTGCTCCTTAGATCTAGGCACACTAGATCTATCTAGAACAGAGTACCTAGAACAGTATCTAGAACAGAGCCTGACACAAAGTAAATGTTTTATTAAGTGTTTGTTATTCTTATTATCATTATAGAAAGATTAGGAGCCTAGGAAAAGAATATGCACGAACATGAAGAGGGCAATTTGGATTTGAGACATTGCCGAAGAGGCAAGGAGGCTGCATCTTTCGACCTCCTCTAACCCCACAAGAGGAAGACAGAATCACCATCAGCAGCCCAAGGCCTATTCCTGCAAGGCCAGACATGCTGCCTCCCTCCAGCCCTTTCACCAGCCCTGACACCAACTGTTCCTCCCGCAGCACCCACCACCTCTCTGCTGTGTTCAATGATTCGCTGCAGTGGCCACACAGAACTTCCAGATTATGGGGTTTATTAGGGAAGCACCATGCTACAATTCAAGTTCAGGAACAACACTCAGTATCTCTCAGTCTCTTTCCCAACAGTGCATGTCTCTTGATATGTCTTTCTCAGCAGCACGTTTCTCTCAGCAGCACGTCTTTCTCAGCCAGCAGTGAGAGAGACTCCTTCTGCCTCTAGGAGACCTCCTTTTGAGCCTGGCAGAGTAGCCAAACTAACCAATCCCAATATCAGAATTCCATATACCTGAGAGAGTGTTAACTTCCCAGAAAATTACTTTGTGCTGCCCCCAACAGAAATACCCCAGGTGGATAACTTTAACAATCAGGAGCTACTCAGGTGCTCATGGAAAATTCTGCTACTGAGTTTACAAAGACTTATGACCAGGAAATCCATACCAGGTAATTTGCTACACTGCAGACTATTATTAATACACTGTGAGCTCAGCAATGTGGCCAGAGGTTAGAGATACTTATTGAAGACTTTGGAACGAGGAACACAAAGAAACAATAAAACACATTGACATCAATATTTTCCTTTATGTTTGAATACAAGTCTGGATGTGAGTAAGGATATCAATAGTGAATAATGTATATCGGAGTATGGAGTATGCCATTAGAGCAAAGCATCTGGTGGATACTTGTCATTTATCTTTTTTGTTTTTTGTCTAGTGTTATCTCATTTCATTTCTGGTAGGAATCCCTGTATAAATTAAGATAGATTTTGTTACAAGCAACAGACACTAACCATGGCTTACTAAAGCAAAAATGTCTACTGGTATAACTCTCAAAATCACAGAAACTGCTCTATAAAAAGTAGAAAGACCTAAACATTCTTTGAAGAGATAATCAATATGAATTCATAGCCTTCTCTTTAGGAGGCCACTATTAGATGGCAGCTCTAAACATCAAACAAACAAAAAACCAAATACACTACCATCAAGTTGGACCCGACTCATAGTGACCCCTCCTTAGTTTTCTGAGGTGGTATCACTACAGAAGTAGATTGCCCAACCTTACTTCTGAGGAGTGGCTGGTGGGTTTGAACTGCCAGCCTTCTGGTTAGCAGTCAAATGCCTTAGGTACTACGCCACAACAGGAGAGGAAATACTACTGCTCCAACTGGAGTTGGGTCTTTCAACTCTTGGATTTAGTTAGTTATGCCAGTAAACAGGAAGGAAACTCTTCGTCACTGGAGGGATTATTGAAAACTATGCAGGTACACCAGATTTTATCTAAGGGAGTGATAAGTGAACAATTCCTTATCTTAATTTTTTTTCTTTTATTTTTTTCTTAATGAATGACTTACAATGTTCATATTAGCTTCAGGATTTGTAGTGCTTCTTTTTTTATCACAACCACATACAGCTCCAAGAAGAAGCATCCAGCATGCTGATGCTAAAAGCTGCCACATTTGGGGTCTGCCTGGAAAAGGAAATGTTAATATATTTGTCATCAAAGAGAAATTCTACAAAGTGAAAGATTACTGTGTGTCCTTGTTCAAGTTACTTAACCTTCCAGAGCATTGATTTCTTCTACTACTACTAGGGACAATGTAGAGAATAATTTCACCTACTTCCTAGGGTTGTTGTAAACATAAAAAAAAAAAAAAAAAAAGTAGATTAAAATTGTGAAGTTCTTAGCTTAGTGCCTGGATAAAGTAAGCACTGAATACATGTCAACTATGCATATATGCACTCCCATTGAGTCGGATCCGACTCATAGCGACCCCTCCTTGGGTTTCTGAGATGGTAATACTATGGGAGTAGATTGCCCAACAACCTTCCTTCCGAGGAGTGGCCGGTGGGTTTGAACCACCACCCTTCTGGTTAGCAGTCAAATGCCTTAGACACTAGCCACCAGAGCTCTCAGTTTTATCATATCATCCTCATTACCAGGTATTGATGAAGAAAGTAGGAAGCACTCAACCAGTGGTGTTGGGAAAATTGGCTAGCTAGCTGCAAAATAATCAGATTGTCAATTCATATTTTACATCAAAATTGAGGCATTATATATGAAAAATCAAACTGTAAAAATTGAATATATATATACATTCACAAAAAATAAAACTCATTGTCACTGGGTTGACTCTGACTGATAGTGACCTCCTATGGGTTTCCAAAGCTGTAAATCTTTATGAAAGCAGACTACCTCATCTTTCTTCCTTGGAATGGCTGGTGGGTCCAAACCACTGAACTTTTGGTTAGTAGCCAAATGCCTTAAACACTGCACCACCAGAGCTCCTTATAGATATATACACATAGTGGACAATTTTTAAAATTCTAGGTGAAAGAAGACTTTCTAACCATAAAATCTATGAAAGAAATCATAATAGAAAATGTTTACTTACATAAGTGCAGGAAAAATTCTATTTATCATAACAAAAATAACATAGTGCACTGCCTTGGAGTCAGATCTGACTCATAGCGACCTCTCCTTGGGTTTCCAAGGCAGTATCACTAAGAAAGTAGATTGTCCCATCTTCCTTCTGAGGAGTGGCTGGTGGGTTTGAATAGCCAACCTTCTGGTTAGCAGTCAAATGCCTTAGGCACTATGCCACCAGAGCTAATAGTAAAGGAAAAATAATTTAAATTTTTCTATGTTTTTTTCTAAATATAAAAAGACTAAACATCAAATATTAATTATGACTATATGTGGATAGTGAATATATTGGTGACTATTTTCTCATTTTTAAAGTTTTCCATACTCTTTAAATATCTATATTAAGCATTACCAAAAAACCCAAACTCACTGCCTTCAAGTCAATTCTGACTCATAGTGATCCCCTTTGGGTTTCTGAGATGGTAAATCTTTATGAAGTAGATTACCCAGTCTTCCTTTTGCAGAGTGGCTGGTGGGTTTGAACCACCAACCTTCTAATTAGCAGTCCAATGCCTTAGGCACTATGCTACAGAGCTCCTTATATTAAGCATTGTTGTTGTTATGTGCCATCAAGTCAGACCCGGCTCATAGCAACCCCTCCTTGGGTTTCCAAGGCAGTATCACTATGGAAGTAGATCACTCCATCTTCCTTCCGAGGAGTTGCTGGTGGGTTTGAACCATCAACCTTCTGGTTAAGCATTACTACTTCAAAATAGTATTTATTACACCTCAAAATTAAGAAAACAAAAATCCTCACAATAGGACCAATAAGCAACATCATGATAAATCGACAAAAGATTGAAGTTGTCAAGGATTTCATTTTACTTGGATCTACAAACAACACTCATAGAAGCAGCAGTCAAAAAATCAAATGATATACTGCATTGTGCAAATATGCTGCAATAGACCTCTTTAAAGTGCCGAAAAGCAAAGACGTCACTGTGAAGACTAAGGTCTACCTGGCCCAAGTCTTTTCAATAGCTTCATATGCTTGTGAGATGGACAGTGAATAAGGAAGACCACAGAAGAACCAATGCATTTGGATGATGGGGTTGGTGAAGAACGTTGAATGTACCATAACTGCTAGAAGACAGAACAAATCTGTTTTGGAAGAAGTACAGCCAGAACATTCATTAGAATAGAGAATGGCCAGAATTTGCCTCTCATTCTTTGGTCTTGTCAGAAAGGACCAGCCCCTGGAGAAGGATATCATGCTGTGCAAAGTAGAAGGTAAATGAAAAAGGGGAAGACCCTCAATGAGATGGACTGACACAGCACCTGTAACGATGGGCTTGAGTGTGGCAATGATTGTGAGAAAGGTACAGGACCAGGCAGTTTGCCAAAGTAATAGAGAGTACAGTTCATAAAAGAGCCCCATTTGCTAATCTATTTTGTTTTCTATCCAACAAGAGAGGAATAGGGTGCCTAACCCTGTAAGGTTTTTCACATGATACTTGAAGGATTTTCACAAGATGCCTTCACTGTTTTGTTATATAAAATTCATGAATTTTTCTCTTGCAATTGTCAAAGTCAGTTCTCTACATGACTATGTTGTTGTTGTTGGTACTATATTAATATCTATTAACATAAAATATATTGTTAAATATATAATTATACATTAATATTATACATGAATATAATTAATATCTATTGTAGCTTAATTCCAGGTGGATCAGCAGAGCAGTGATAATGGTAAGACTACTAACAGGAATAATTATTACTATTACTTTGGTCATGTTGTCAGAAGGGACCATTCCCTTCTGGAGAAGGATGTCATGCTTGGCAAAGTGGAAAGTCAGTGAAAAAGGGGAAGGCCTTCAGTGAGATAGATTGACACAGTTGCTGCCACAATGGGCTCAGGTATATCAAGGATGGTGAGACTAGCACGGGACTGGGTTATGTTTCATTCTGCTGTACATAAAGTCGCTATGAGTCAGAGATGATTTGACATCACCTAACACCAACAACAACAATGAAGAACTCCAGAAGAGTCAGAAAACAGAAGTCCTCTAGTTTAGGCCTTTCTTTTCTTAACTGTGAAAACTCATGGGACTGAAAATATGTGTCCTACACAGCCAGTATCACAAGATTGTGTGGTTCCAAAGAGCTAATGTTAAAGAAAACATCTCTAAATCATGAAGAATTATAAAATGCAAGAATATAAGACTGTATACATATTCTTTCTAGAAATAGCCAAGAACAGAATGTGAATGCCTTCAGGTGTGCTTTAAATTCATTCAAATGGAGTTAAAGACTGCACCCAATTTCTTTTTTCCTTTTTTCATTCTTTGAATGAGAAGATCTGGAAACTATTGGAAATAAGATCCAAGTACTTAGCACAGACTTTGAGCTTGGCCCTGTGTTTATCATCTAAACAAGCAGAATGGCAAAACAGACAATCCCACAATCAAATTATTTGGGACCTGTCCTGACATCTTCACTTCCTATTCACCCACACTCTTCACTTTTGGCGTTCTGACTTCTAGCCCCATTGCTATCTTAATACATTCACTGGTCTCCAATTGCGTTTTCCTTGAGCCAATTGTATCATGTATTGTATCCATTGCTCCCTCTTGTCCATAGTCATTTTCAGGTATCTCTCACTAACTGCATGGTTTCCTTTATTCCTTAGGTGAGAAAGAAATCCAAATCCTTACATTCTATCCTGGCCACTCCTCTGAGCTCTAGTCACATATTTCCCTGAGACTTCAAGATGCATCTCCTTTGATTTCCTCTAGAAACTTCTAATCCAATATGCCCAAATTAAAATTGTCCCCCTTTCCTCTCTCAACCCCTCTTTTTCCTTCTCAATTCCAGACCCTTTATTTTTATAATCTTGAAAGTTGGAAAGTTAGAATTTTTCTCATTCTCTCTGATTTCCTCAAACTCTGTCTCCAATCTGTTATTAAATACTTATACTTTACTTTTAAATCTTCTCCGAAATTTTGCTCAAATTGTATTTCACTCTTAAAACATTTGTTTCAATTACTACTGCAAAATCTCCATTCTAGTATCTCAGCACTAATAGCTGTATCATTTTACTTGGTTCTTGGCCAGTCTTTCTTTTTCTAGTATTTATAATATAAAATAATTATGTATATTGATGTCAGAATAATTTTTCTAAAACCATTCTTAGTATGTCAAATTGCTACTCAGGAAACCATTAATAAAACACTTCTATTAGCAGCCATGGTGAAGTAACTCCTACAAGACTAGATATTCCACTGATAAAACTATATACCAATTGTTTTTAGGCATTAGACAATAGGCTGTACTACCAAAATCCTTGAGATAGGTATATTTTAAAAACTCAGTAGATGATTCAAAATAGCATGCTGAAAAAAAGTATATGATTCTAAAAGAAGGCAGGAAAAGAGTAATAATTAAAAAAAAAAAGGCAGAAGAAGGAAGGACAAATGGAAAACAAATACCAAGAGAGATGATGTGTCACAAATTACATTACATGCTAATACACAAAATACTATAATTAAAGTACAGAGATTGTCAGATTGATAAAGAAGTAAGGTCCAACAATATGCTTGCAAGAATGGCAACACTTTAAATATAGAAAGAAGTAGGTTGAAAGTAAAAGAAATAAAAATGTATACCATGCAAGCAGTAAACTTAAGAAACCTGGCATGGATATATTAACATCTGACAAAATAGGATTCAAGACAAAGAGGATTACCAGAGATAAAGAGTGACATTTCTTAGTGTCAATCATCAGGAAGAGGGAAGTCAATTCATCAGGAAGACAAAAGTCAATTCATTAATTAGGAAGACAAAACATCCTAAATGTGTAGACATTTAATAATAGAACTTCAGAATACATGAAGGAAAAACTGACAGAACCAATGTGAATTCAGTTTTATAGTTGGAAATTTCAAAATCTCTCCCAATAATTGATAGAAATAGGATGAAAATTAGTTAGAGTATAGAAAACATGAATAATAAATTCTATCAACCAAATATAGTTGACATTTGCAGGACATTTCTAAGGAATCCATAGATAACTGAAGTAAAATCAAAGAG